TATTTTGGGGTCAATCTGTGCAACTGTACAACTGGAATAAATATTCTGGGTGGAGTAACCACCCCATTGGATTCCCTGGAAATATTTGTCCAGGGTCACAGAGGGGCTGAGGTTGGAGGTGCCTCTGGAGACCATCCAGTCCATCCATCTTTGCTGGAGAAGGGACACCTGGAGCAGGTTCATCCAGAGCAGTCCAGTTGGGCTTTGATGTCTCCAAGGATGGTGACTCCACAGCCTCAGTGTCTGGCCATGAAAGAAGAGCTTTGATTCAGGTTTCAGTGGAATTTCCTGTATTTCAGCTTGTGCCCCTTCAGAAGGATCATAAATTATCATCCCCCCTGAGGATGGATGAACTCTGGTGGGTTTTTTCCCTGCTGCTGATTATTCCATTCTGGATTTTTCCCACAGAATTATTCCCACTCGACCTGTTATTTTCCACGAGTCTCGTAACAGTCCAAGGCAAGGATCGTGGTTGAGTCCCAGTCACAGAAATTTTTTAGTTTTATAATTTTTAGCTGAAAACTTCCCAATCTACCTTGACTTCCAGAGCTTTCTGGGCTAAAACCCAAACCAGATATACAGAAATTGTTGACTTGGTGAACATCCTGGTCCTTGTGACTTAAAATGTCATTAATGATTGTGATAGATAATAATGTTCAATTAACAATTCAGAGGGATTGGACTCATTTGTTGGGTGATCACGTGAAATTCAGTGTAATCAACCACAAGTCTGTGTATCCAATATTGCACAGGTCCCAAAGGAAGATTTAGGGGCTCCATGAGCTGTCCAGGAGATCCCAAGGCAGTGGTGAGCCAGGAAGGCACACGGTTAATAAAAGTAAGGAAGTAGTTTTGGCGTTAATAAGTTTTCCTCCCTCTCCGTGGGGTGTTGCCTCGCTGGGACGATTCCCCCCTCTAAAGAACAAAGCTGGAAAATAGGAGTGTTCCGAGGAGAACCACATGAATGGCAGAAAAGATGAACAAGGGTGCAGGAAAATGTGACAGGTACTAATGTGCCATTCAAGGAGCTCCAGCTGTTGAGTTCATCAATGGGAAGATAATGGGGTGATCTGACCATTTGCATGTATTTACATGAGAAAGGGGAATGTAGGTGAGCAGACATTTGACTTGATTCAGTGGCTGAAAGTCACAGATAACAGAGGATTCAGATTGGAAATAACGGTGAACAGTTTTCCGTGGAATGTGAATTTATCCTCTCCCAGCAAAGATAATTAACTTCCGAGGGCTGTGAAAGATTCTGCCCGTGAATATTTTCATATTTTTCAAAATGACTTATTCCTTCAGAGGACGAGACAGGGAAGTGCTGTGGTCCTGATTCAAGATGCCAGACAAGATAATTGGAATGATGCCCCTTGCCTTGATACAATTCATCTTTTCATCAGCCATCCAGAATATTCCTGGTAGCTCTGCCAAGTGCAGTGAAGAGGAATCACTCTTGGTGCTTTGTCTTCCCTCATCTGTGGCACTGCTTGGAACATGTCTTTGCTCACTTTAATTAATTAATTAAAATTAGTTTTCGAAGAGCATGACTGGTACAAGTACTTCACCATCATGGGAAGATGGAAGATAATTGGGTTTGTATTTATTGTCCCCTGGTCTCCTCCTCCTTCCCATCCCAGATGAAGTCCCATTCCAGCCCTCACGTGTGTGCTCCTGCAATGCCACCCATTCCAAGGTGCCTGATGTTGGGGGGAAGTGGGAGGGAGAACATTTTCCCATCACAAATCTCCTTGACTTCCTCGCTCCCCATTCTTGGACACTTCAATAATTCTATTTAAGCAGTGAGTGACAGGGGCTATTTTAGGGAATGAACTGAAACACGGAGTTTAAAGGCAGAAAATCGTCATATTTGTATTTTTAGCCGTGTGGGGCTGTGGTTATCTGGATTTCTGGTAGCCATAAATCCACATACAGGCTGTGTCAAAGGAGCTCAAGCTCTCCATGCTCAGGGAGTGAAGTGGGAGCAAAGCTCACACCAGATGGCCTTTGCTTCCCAGTTCATGGACCCCAGTCCTCACTGGGCAAGTCATTATTTTCCACAGTTGAAGCAGCTGTGGATTATTGTAATTATGGATTTCATATATCTCTGACAATCCAGTGTGAATGTTCATTTGAACTTTGGACACCCCCTTGGAATCAGGTTAATTTTCTCGTGATTATACAGTGTCTGATTAAGTGAAAATGTTTGTCAGGCTAATATTTTTCTTGCTGTGGAAATAACTGCACATGGACTCCAAAATAATAGTGGTGTTGAAAATCCTGGGAGAGGATCTCTGAGTTCCTCAAACATTTTCAGCCGATGAATTGGTTTTGAATGGTGAGTTTGGCTTTCCTAGTTCAATAGTATTGAACTGAATGGTAACTGTGGAGGGAAAAAAAAGGACATTTTTAAGAGAAATAATAGTCTAAATGTACCAGAATTTTGTGTTAGGGGAAAACTCTCCTAATAGTTTCTGTTGGCCTCTTTGTCCTTTAAATAGTTCTTTGCTTTAGAGGGCAAACTGTTTGTCCTGGTGCCATTTGTAGATCTTGCATTATCCTCTGGAGAGCAGATTATGTTTTGCTCTCATGTGTTTTCCCTTTGAATAACTATTCATAGCTCCATGTCCTTATTCCAAGAGGTTTGGCTCAGCAAAATCCCACTGACTTCAGGGCAGTTATTCATGTTCCTGCTGCTGAAGGCCAGGCAGCTGATCCCAAAAACGAGTGTGGGATGGGAGAGCTGGGGCTGAGGAACGGGAATTTCTCTGAAATCCGTGGGGCTGGAAGCAGAATTTTGGTGGCTAATTCCATCACCACCAGCTTTTCCTGGTTTGTCTGCCCTAAGCTGTGCTCTCAGGGAGACAGGAACACAAAGAATATTCTGTAGTCATTTCCAGAATGCCAAGAAACAACTCCTGGAATGATGTTAAATGGGAACAAATCCTCACTGTGTTTGAGGACAACATGGCTGGGCATGGAATGTGCTCCCAAAGTGGTCCTGGTTCACCCCTGGAAACAGGGACATCTCTACCAGAATGAAGTGGATCATGGAGAGATGGACTTCCAGGTCTTTTCTTTAGTCTGGGATGCGACTTCTTTAATCTAAAAATCTGAATTTATACATATATGTGTGTGTAAATGTATATATTTTTGTACTTTTTGGAAATGACCATGAAAGCCTTATAGCATTGCTACAAAAAAAAAATCATTAATGGACTCTCTGGAATGTATTTCTTGTCCACAACCTCATCATTCCATGGTTTTTACTATCCTATTGGGAGATACCTAATAAGTTAAGTGCACTGTTCTCAGAACAATGAATTGTGTGGGTGGATTTGGGCTCTTTTTTTTTTTTTTTTTTTTTTTTAAGATGCAAGTCCAAAAACCTCAATATAAAGGAATTTTTGCTCAGGAGCAAAACGTGGAATGTGAAATTCCAAAGGGGATCATCATGTGTTTCAAACAGCACCTCCAGCTTGAATCTTTTCCATGAGTGTTTGGTGGTGACAGTGAGAGTCTCCCAGGCCCCAGGAGCACCCCAACAGTGTTGGAGATGCATCTTTATCCTGGAAAATTCTTAATCTAAGTGGGATTCAGCATCCTGATTTCCATGGGAGGCTGTTCCTCAGGATCCCTTAAGGCTTAGGAGAACAGAGGGAAGATCTGTGCGTGCTCAGGGTGTGCCCAGTGGTCCCGAGGCTTTGCAGCACAAGGTTTTTGCTGGAATGAGCACAGGAATATTTGCTCCTGAGGCTGCAGTGGGTGGGAATGGAACCGGCAGGTTGGACACCCCGAGGAGCCACTTTGTTCTCTCTGCCTCACCAAATCCTGTGTGGAGAAATCCCTTGATCTGCTCTCCTGGTTTTTTAGGCATCCAAGTTCAGCTGACTGCCCTGGAATTCTGCCTTTCTCCCTTTAGGCCATTTTAAAAGGAGCCCCAACATTTGCCCTTCCCAAACAGCGTCTCAGCATCCCCTGGGAATTCTCAATGGTAGAGGTCCTTAAAGACATTATTTCCACCCATTACCTGCATATTCCCGAGTGGATTTGAGCTGCCCCAGCCAGCTGGAAAATCTCTCATCTTTAGAAGCACTTCCCAACCTGTTCCTGCCCTGTTCTGCCTCAGGATTTTGGTTGTTTGCCTCGGATTTAGCTGCCAGTTGAACCCAGCAAGGGTGGGGTAGTGAGTGGTACATTAAATATTGAGCTTTCATGGCCTCACCTGTCAATAGTTCTTGTACTCAGCAGTACAAATCCCTGGATTTTTCCTTATTACACATGGATTTGTAGAACCTTTTCTCACTGCCTTTCCCAGCTCCAGGTCATTTTCCTCTTTAGTCTCCAGTTGTTTCTCAGTGTTTGTTGTTCTTTTATACTTGGTGGTGTTCTGACTGTGTTTGTGTGTCCGTGAGTTGGGGATGACTTAGCCAGGTTAATTCCAGGTTTTTATGCATCGGGATAGTTTTCATTCAGATCATTTCTCTGAGGTTTGTTCCCTGTATCTTCTTTTCTCCTTGGACTTGCAGCTCTTGGACCTTTTGTACTGTTAAGCCTCAGGATTGTCCTTCCTTTGAAGTCTTTTGTCTTTATTATGTTGTTTTCTCCCTGAAGAATTAATCTTCACCTTCATACAAGTTGTCTTTTGACTTCCTTATCTTAGGGGGCTTCTCAGTGCTGGAACGTTCTACACCCAAACTGGTTTTTGGTGTGCTCTGAAATGCATAACCAGTAATATCCAAACCACAAGAGACAGCTTTGCATGGTTGCTATTTATATAAAATCTTGGAATGGTTTGGGTTGGAAAGGGCCTTAAAACCCATCCAGCCCCACTCTGCCATGGGCAGGGACACCTTCCAGTATCCCAGTTGCTCCAAGTCCTGTCCAACCTGGCCTTGGATCCACTTCCAGGGATCATCTGGAAGAATGATGATCATCATCTCTGAAGAAGGAAACTTGCAGTGACCCACATGCGTTTGGAGGGAAAGGAAACCTGTGGAAAACAGAGGGAGTGAGATGTGACAGAGCGGTCTTGGTGTGGGAGCTACACCTCAACACCACACTCCAAACTGGATCCTATACTTCCCCTGCTCCCTGAATGTTTGCAGCAGCTGGGCAGGGAGAATTAATTGTCTCAAGAACATTAAGATCATAAATTTGTGGGGTCCCTCCTCCCCCTGTAACTCTCGGGAGTCTGTGCTGAGCGTGGGTCTGAGGCAGCAAAGTCTCCATCTTCCATTCCTTAAATTGGAATTGTGTGACTGTAAATAAGGGCTGTTCCAGCTAATTTTGGTCCCTCGGTGCTTCCCATGCCCGTGTTCTGCTCTTCCCATGGCCTTTGTTTGGCTTCACGGGGTCGTGGAGCCACTTAACCCTCGTGTTCCTAATTAACACATTTTGTCACGGAGCGCTCCGGTCGCTCCTGGAATGTTCCCACTTGTGCCCACGGAGGGAATCTCTTCCCTGTGTGAACATTTCTGTGTAGAACCATGAAATTTAGGATGTTCTGCCTCCCTCCTCCTCCTCCTCCCCACCACGGGGTGAGCAGGATTCCCAGGGCTTTGCCTCTTGGAAAGGGTCTTCCATTTTCCCCTGGCATTTATCAGCCAATAGCAGCATTTCATGAGACCTGTCTGAGTGTTTCAAGGGCCAAAAACATGCAGGATTTGGTGAAAATTGAATTTTAAAGGTCAGGTGGGTTGGTGAAGTCAGGCTATAGGATGTGGTGAGCCCATGGAACGTGATGAGAATGAGGATGAGGAAGGATGCAGCTGTCCCTGCTGGGTATGGTGGGTTCCCACCCACCAAAACTCTTCTGCATGTTGGAAACCTTTCCAAAATCCCCCAAATAAGTGTGTGAGGAGATGCTTTGTCAAGCCACCACTTGACTTTTGAAGTAGCTTCATAAAGAAACCTTTAATTAACCATTTTAGACCTTTCCTTCCCCACATACAAAGCGGCTCCCAGAAGGATCCACTTGAGAAAAGCAGAACAAATTTCAGCATGTGGTTGGCATAATTTATAAAAGGCAAATTTACTTTGAGTAAGGATTTCTCAGCAGTTAAAAACTGTGGGCAGATTTGAGGGGTGACAGAAGGACACTGGCTGTGTTTGTGGTTCAGGTTGCTGCAAAATGAGGGATTTCAGCAATTCCTTATGGGATTTTTATCAGGGCTTTTTTTTAGTGAACAGAGTAAAATGTGATTTTTTTTTTTTTTTTTGTGAATAAGCTTTTCAAGTGTATTTTATTGTATGTAGACATTTTGAAATATATTCTCTATATATGAAATATTAATTTTCCATGGTAGGACAAAATACCCCAAAGTCAATTAAGGTATTAAAGCCAATCCTGTATTTAATTTGGAGGAGGGTGTTTCAGACTGGAAGCAGATTCATGGGGGATGGTGGAGTTTCAATTTATAAAAGAAGTGGCTACAGCTCCGAGTTGTTTTCCCACAGGGATGAGGGAGAATGACCAACAAATCTAATCCCTGAGCTCAGGTGTTTTCCAGGAGCAGCTTCATTTGTAATTCCTTCCTGTAAGAGGGACCATACAGAGAAAAAGAAGATAAAGCTGGTCTGGAGCCTCAAAAATAGGTGTTTCACCTTCATTTCTGCCTGTGACACAAACCCATAGATTAATGAAAAGAGATTTTGGGAATGCAAGGGGACCTCAGGACTGGCTGGAGGAGCAGAATCCCAACAAATGGGTCTGAACCAAAATCCATGAGGGAGAAACATGGAGGGAGTTCCTGGCCTGGTCAGAAGTTGCGTCTTGTGGTCTGTGGGATGAGATGGATAACCTGGAAATGGGGGAAGTCGTCCTGTTTTAGGTGCTGTTTGATTTTCATTCACCTGGCACAGTTGGCTTCTTGGTCTCTTTAAAACCACGATCACAGAATCCTGGAATGGTTTGAGTGGGAAGGGACCTTAAAGCTCATCTCATTCCAAACCCCTGCCTTGGGCAGGGACACCTTCCACTAGCCCAGGTTGCTCCAAGTCCTGTCCAACCTGGCCTTGGACACTTCCAGGGATGGAGAATCCACAACTCTCTGGATGAACACCTGCACTCACCCCCTCACATTATTTCCTTTTCAATATCCAGTTACTTTGAAAAACTGAGATAAAATGGCTTTTGCCCCGAGTAGGATGTGGCACAATCCATCTGGTCCCTGCAGCACAGCTGGAATGGGATTACTGCCACAGGGCTGAGCCCCTTTCCTGCTCCAAAGGGAGAGGAGTTTAAATCCTTGGAGTTTAAACCTTCAATAACTTCTCCACACAACGATAAAGGCCGTGGGCTAAGCAAGTGTTGGGTTTTGCTTCTCACTGAGGGGGGAAAGCCCCCACCTGTGAGATCACACTCAGAATAGGTGTCATCTCTATGGAAGAACTTGATGATGGTCCCGATGGTTTTCCCATCTGTCTCCTGGTTTCCACTTCCCAAGGTCTTTGGGACAGGATGGGTGTTTTTCCTTCCATGGGTACGGCCTGTATTGTACCAACATTCACTCACTGGCACAAGATGTGTTTCAGAAAATGAATGTGCATCAATTCTGCTTTTCTTCTGCTTGAGAATTCCTGAATTCTCCCTTAGGGAGAGCACAAAAATCCCCCCCACCCCGAGTCAAACCTCTTCTCAAAGATGACACACAAATGCCTGAACTTGGGCTAAATTAATCCCTGTCCAATGTATCTTTTGGCCTTCCCAGGGAAGAAAACAACTATAAAAATGTAACATTAGTTACTCTGGACTCAGGTGGAGAGTTCCTTTAGTTTTCCCAGAATAATTCCCTCGGTCTCACATGGCTCAGCGTGCAGAAACATGGAACACAACCTCAGGGATATTTTAAGGTTGCAATTTAATCGGTGATTGACTTTGGAAAACTAAACATAACCCCAGGAAGAGCCTGTTGGAGAGCAGAGGTAACTTCTGGTCAGTCCCAGGCCTGGAATAAAACAATCTTGCTATGATTTATTTTCCTCTTTTTTCTTGAGGTTGGCAGGAAAGCTGGAGCAGGGAGCAGCATCCCTTGCTGCATCCTGCTTTTCCAGTTCCAAAACCAACTCCAACCCGTGCCAGAAAGAGGGAATTCCTATTCCCTCTTACAGTGGGAGTGTGATACTCACAGGAGAGGGGTGGTAGTGCTGAAAAGCAGGAAGCCAGGGTGTGTTGGGGTCTCTCAGAGCCCAATTCCAGAGGGATGGAACTGACACCTCTGCAGGGGCAGATGCTCTCCTTGGTTACTACCACCTTACTACATTGTTACACCAGGCTGTGTAACACCAGTACAACCATGCCACCTTGTGTCAGCTGCTGTCTCCTCGTGGCCTCGAGCAGTCAGAGAAAGAAATTCCAACAATTTTCTGCGTGTGGATGCACTTTGTGCTTTAAAATTCGGAATAAAGACGTTGGATTTCGTGGTTTTATTTTCCAGATACCTCAGCACCGAAGTCGAGCTGTTGTGGGGGGTGTGTGGGTGACTCTGGACTGCCCCGAACTCCCTGCTGGAGGGTGGGTTGTGCCCCAGCTTGGGGGAATTTGGTGCGTTATATCTCTGACTCTAATTAATAAACAGGAACTAATTAAAGCTTTGCCTCTTCTCTCCCCAGTCGGCGGCAGAGTACGTGAAGTCCCGCCTGCCCGAGGTCCTGAAGCAGCACCTCCAAGACTATGAGAAGGACAAGGAGAACAGTGTCCTGTCCTACCAGACCATCCTGGAGCAGCAGATCTTATCCATCGACCGGGAAATGCTGGAAAAGCTGACTGTGTCCTACGACGAAGCAGGTACGGCCGTGTCCCTTTTGAAGTTACATTTTCCTGCAGCAAAAAAGCTGCTCAGCTCAGTCTTTCCCCAGACAACCTTGTGCTGGAAGGTTGAACTTTGTCCTCACAGGTATGGGGTGACTCGGTGAAATATTTCTTCCTCCTCAGGCTGAGATAGAAAATGTTCCCCTTGAGTGATGGAGTGTCAACCAACTGAGAGGACACTTCTTCTTCTCCCAGCACTTTGTCCTCTGGGCACTGATGGTGATTAATCTGCCTGTGCCTCCTTATTGTCTCTGCTTTTTCGCTCTTTTCTCCTTCACAACTAACTTATTTTTGGGCTTTCCCACTCAGAGTGTGCTGGCTGGTCCCAGAACCTGATTTTAAATGCCCACGATGCACGTGGACAGTAAAACCCAGGTAGTTTGTGTGGTTTGGAGGCATTTTAACAGTGCAGTTCCAGGGGTTTTCAGCTTTGATATTTCCTTTTTACTAGCATGTTGTTCTCTAGTAGGTAGAAATCTCTTCCAGCTTTTAGATCCTTCAGAGTTGTCCTGATGCAGGGACTCCTTTACAGTTACGAGGAAAAAACACACTCTCGATGCTTTTCACTGATTTTCCAAAATAGCCTCCAATAAATGCTGTATGCCCTGAATTTTACTGAGTTTCTTAGTGTTTCGATAAGTTATTAACTTGCAACCTTGCAAAGAAAGAATCAAGCAGACAGAGCAGTTCATGATTTTACTGCTGACTTAATATTCCTGGCAAGGAGTTGGGCTGGAGGTGTGTGTGGAGATCTGAAAGATGCTGTTCTTTGTTCTCCACCCGTGGCTGAGGGCTGGAACTCACCATCTCCTTTCATCCACAGCCCCACCAACCACCAGCCTCAGGCAGCCTTGTAGTACAAAAAGAGGGTCTATACTTAGTATGGCCCCATTTTGGGGTTCTTTCTTATCCCTGGTGGCACTTCCTTGCTCCGTCCCTCCCCTGGTGCCCTTGGGGAACTGTGCTGAGCTCGGCTCCAAGTTTTCCTTCCAGCTGCTTTAGGCAGGAGCCTTGAACTCATAACTGGGTTTTTCACCCTGTTTAGATGGTTTTTCACTCTGTTTAGATGGTTTTTGCAAACACTGCCCTGTGGATCCCTCTGGGTTGGTTTCTGCACCCTGATGAAGTTGCCACCATCCGAGTCCCTCGTCACTCCCAGCTCTGGCAAACTCAGCCCTGCCAAAGCTGCTGGTACTTTATTCTATGATTTCTACTCACACTGCAGTGCCCTGAAGTGCTTAAGATGCTCTAACTACTTATCAGCTTCATTCAGGCTCCTCCTCAGCCTCCCACTCACCAGCAAGGAGATTCTCTTGGAGCTCCTTTGATCTCGAGGGCGCTCGAGCAGCTCCAAATGCCCTTTGCAGATGGAGCTCACAGGGTGCTCACAGGGCTGGGAGCTCTGCTGGAGTCAAGTAATTACAAAGCTCTGTCACTTTATTGATGACATCCCCTCATTAACCCAATAAATAAGGCTGGTTCCCTCAACTCCTGTGATCTGAGATGCTCTCGAGCCCCGGGTGCTGCCTTTGCAGACAGAAGGAGCTCAGAGTCACACAAGTTCTCAAAATCAAGAGTTAAAATGAGGGTGCAGAACATCTCCTTAATCACACACGGCCTGTTTTTAATGATGCATAAAAAAATCAGCTTCCAAAGTTGTTGCTTCTCTTTATCTCTTTTCACGCAGAATTTCCCAGTCCGGTGAGTCGTGTAAATCTTGTCCCCTGGTTTGGTCACTACAGCTCTCCAGATATTTTGATGGATGGGATTTTGTTAGGAAGGAGAAAGTGAAATGGAGGAAATCACTGACTCCTGTTAGAAGGAAAAAAAAGCTTTTTCCTTTACAGAAAACTATGTGTTTGTACAGCGAAAATTAAGATTAAAACTGCTTGAAACCCATATTTGGGGATTTCTGTCATGCAATAAAACAATCAGGTGCAAATGAGAAGCCACAGAAATAACTGGTTTAGGAAAGTCCCAGCATTTACACACATTCAGAAGGGAGAGACAGCAGAGCTGTAAATAAAAACCCCCAAATTTCAGCTTCCCAGTCAGGTGGAGACACCTCCAGAGATGAAAACACAGTGAGAGAGCCCTGTCATCATCCTAATCATGGCTCTTGTTTACTAGAAAGGCAGAAATGGTACTCCCTGCTCTTGAAACAAGATGTGATTGTGAGCCAAGCACAGAAAATGGGCAGTTAAATAGAACTGAGCAGCTGTGGGTGATCCCAGGTGCTCCAACCAGTCAGCTCTTGGTGGGGGCATTTTCCTTTTGTTGGCCTTTTTCCACACCAAGATCAACTCAGGGAGAAACTCCAGCTGCTGGTGGGACAGGAAAAACGAAAGAAACAAACTTTCAAAATCCAAATTGGGAAAATGAAGTGATGGTGGTGACAGGGAATTAGTTGAGGGATCAACCAAACCCACGCTGGAGTGTGTTGTCGAGGGTTTCATTTCAGTAATCATGTGGAATTCTGCCACGTGTCAGCCGGGGGAACTGGAAAGGGAGATGTTTGAGGTGATCCAAGGGTCGGTAGCTGCCTGTACAGGAGCACTTCCACACCTTTCCCATCCAGGAAACCTGTCCCATCCCTCTTGGAAGGGCCATTTTCCAAGAGTTTGCACCCCCAGCTCACTCCATGCTCCCAGGGGTGTCTCTCAAAGGGGGTAGAATCATTTGCATCTACTCACCCAGAATCAAACAGAACTGCCCTAAAGTGACTTGGGCTTTGGCACAATTTTGCAGGTTGATTTGGCCTTTCTGACAAGATTCAATATTAATAAAACTCAGCTTCCATGGGCTCAACATCCCAGCACCTCTTGGGAATCTTTTCCCTTCAGGAAATCAATCCCTCAGAGCACCCAAATAAAACGAATCCGTCTGAAAACACCCAACGCTGGCAAGATTTGAGGTTTGACTAAGGAAGCTTTACAAAATGAAAGGAGGCCAAAAGTGACAGATGGATACAAATCCTCTCATAATCTTTAAATCCCTTCGTTTAAAAAGTGGCATTCTTGACTGAGGCCGAGGTAATTTTGTGCAGGAATATTTTCTCCCGCCGAAGCTTTGTCGGCCCCTTAATCCTATTCCTTTGATTTATGGCACCTCCAAACATCAAGGGTGGAAAAACACAAAGTTTGGGCATTTAAAGGCAATTTTTGGAATTTTAACAGGGAGCTCAGACCTGCTGGGAGATTCCAGAGGTGGTTTTGTCCTGTGAGCAATTGTTTTTTCCGTAATGGATGGTCCCTCTCCCCTCAGAGTCCTGTAGAAATTGAGTTTCATTATTGCCCGACAAAAGAGATGAATTCCAGTTTTCCCTGCTGTCAGGCAGTCAGGGAAGATATTGATATTTAGGAGCTGCATCCAGAGCCAGGTGTCAGCCCCAAAATGTGTTTTCTGAGCTGATGTTTGCTGGGTGCAGCTGTGGGTGAGGTGGGGGGTTGAGCTCGGCCTTCCCTGGGATGCCCCTTTTCCCAGG